ACAAGTACAAAATATTTATGAACACAATTTGAGCCCATATGAATCCACTCACTGGCCAGGAGCAATGAGCGGAGCAACAAAAGTAAATACAGGAAGAAGGTGCTGTATTCTGGACCACTGGAGAACATGGAGAATTTACATTCATTTCACATCTAGCTGCTAGCCCCTACAGACCTTTGCACATCTGCAGTACCTTCCCACATTGAGAATACAAAGCATACGTGGTTATGGGATATTTTTTTATCTCAAAATTGTAACATACACCTTGCATTTCGTTCGGATGATGGTCACATCACACCATAAACAAACAACTCTGGGGTTTATTCCTTCAAAGGGTCACAGTGCAGCTGTTTTGGTCTATACTTAAGTCCAATTACTGTGAACTAAATGGACTAAACACCACAGGTGTGAAAACACACTTATCCACAATCCTCTCTTGGTTTTCTTGGTTATTTTGTTTTTGCAGCCATATCCAACTTTAGATACTTTTTCAATGAGACACCTTAGGTAGTACTGTTTACCATACTCTCACATCTCACTGCACCAATTATTGATTAGGTCATTTGACTGACTAATTAAACCCTATTGTGCGTGGGCTCTCCTTGTTTGTTACTAGCCTGGATGAAATTACTGAAAAGCAGTACTTCCAACACATATTAGATATTAAATACTAGAGACACTGACTTTAGAGGGAAAAACTTGCTCTAAGAGGACATTTCTATTTTGTGGTTTTTGGTTAATGAAAGTTAAAAAAAAAAAAAAAAGCCGTTTTAGTCATTTTAAAATTATATTTATCTTTTTTTTTTACTATTTCTCTGAATTAGACAGTGACAGTTTGGTTTGGCTGTCAACATCTTAAATTGTTCCTTAGTTCTAAGTAAAACATCTTTTTCAAGTCTGACCATATCAATGAAATCTCATTTTGCTGTATTCTTGAAGTCCTCAAAACCTAAACAGACGAGAGGAAACTCATTCCTGAGAACAGATATAAAATACATGTCTTGTGATTAAATGTGCAACAAACTGGTTTCTCTAAACTTTGTAAGAGGCCAACCAAGCTTACGGTGACATCTGATAAACTGAGAAGTCTCAGTACAGCGGACCTGCTGCCAAGCTGATACGTTGTGCCATAAAAATAAAAATGCTGAAACTAGATGTAACTAGGATGTGAAAGCACTGTAAAAGTGTGAACTAAGGACTGTGTAGTTAACTCTTCTGGACCACACGGAGCTGAGACAGGATTACACAAATGATTGCATACAGACAGGTAATCAAACTGACCAGCCTCCAGGCAGGGCTCCTGTTTCTCAAAGTATTCAGGAGCCATAATCTTCAGCAGCGAGTGGAAGAAGGTCACATAGGGCAGCTGACTGATCAAGACGAGAGACTGGAAAGAGACAGGCACAGCAAGAAAAAAAAAAAAAAAAAAAAAAAAAAAGAGGGAATTGTATTTTCAGACATTTCATCAGTATGTAATTTTTTTTAGTGGTTTGATTTTGTCTGAAAGATGTCAGAATATAGTGAGCCGACAATCCCGCCTTTTGTCTAGTAATAGATTAAACCCCAAAGAGCATCAGCTAGCAAAAGCAGAAAACTACAAGAAATCTCAAAAGTGTCACAAAACAAAGACGTGGAACAAATAAATGTCTTATGGTTTTTAAACTGCAAATAAAAACTGAGAATCAAACCCAAAGCTTGAACTAGTGTATGCTCGACATGGGCCTTTGTTTCTTATTTTAACCTTCTGTATACCTGCGGTCATGATAAAGTACAATGTTACATTTGCACCACATTAAATCCATCTATCACATCATCATTCTATTAAGGAAGGTGCCAAATAAACATAAGGTGAATTAATTTGGCATTTGTTCAGTGATCAGATGGGAGGAGTGAGATGCAAAAGCCTTATGAAATAGCGTCGGGTAAAAATAAATCATTTTAGATAATTATATATATCAAATTTAACATGCATGCAGTTTTTCTATCAAGGAGAGCGCTAATACAGTTAATCACAATGTAACCTTGCCTGAAGTGGGAGTACTACTATTGTGAGCCTAAAATCATAACCAAAAGTTGTTGTTGAAACCATTTAATCTCTGAAATATGGAAAAAAAATCGCTTAAAACCATTATAAGTCCTATTGTGGTAACAGGAAGCATAATCTCGCTCAAATTTTTTAACACAGTGCATTGTGTGCTGGATCCTTGTTCATGCTTAAGTTTTCTATCACCGGCTGTATTTAGTCCTCCTGCAGTTTGACACTGACCTTCTGGAAGTATCCTCTCTTCAAAGATTTGTCTCGCACCTGACGGAAGTACACATAACCATAGTAATGGCCCTGCTCCCTCTGTAACACACACACACACACACACACACACACACACACACACACACACACACACACACACACACACACACACACACACAGCAAATTATCAGTTCACAGATTCTTATTTTACTCTCAGCACACAAAACTCTACACTGTGCAGCTTATGTGCCTACAAAGCTGTGTGTGTGTTAATGAGCGGCCTAACCTTCAGACAAGGTGGCGCATCTCTGTCAGTGGTTTCCAAGAAGCAGCCAAGTGACGTCTTCCTGTTGGAACCCTGCCGGAACCGGAAGCAGAACTGTGTGTCACCAAGGCAACCTGGAAAAAAAGGGCAGAGCAATGACTGATTGTCACCCACAGTAAACAAGAGACATTTTAAGACCTGAATAAAAACATATGGGAGAAAATCAGCAAACACAGGAAACCAATCATGTTTTTGTGGTGATGCATGGGGTTTAATTGAATTAAGCTTAAATAAACTTTTGTTTATAAAATATCCAGACAGCCACCCGGATTTAATCCAAGATGGCTGCAGTGTTTAGAGGATTTTATTAAAAGCCCAGCTTATCCCAGCTTCCAAACACTATGCAGATAAACATGGTGAATACATATAAATATGGATGCATATTCCAGTATTTTCTAAGATCAGACTAGCATATAGAACCAAAATATACATAAGCTGGGGAAAAAATAAAAATCACTTCATAAAGACACATTAGCAAAGGACTGCTACAAAACTTTAGGAACATTCAAAAACTTTTACTAAATTATTCTTTAAACCAAAGTCTCTTGTGTATGAAAATTAAAAAATATACAACTTAATTTGTTCTGAAGAAGAAAAACTGCACTGTCCTCAGCTAACTTTAAACTAAGATTATAAGTGTGATCATAAATAGATTTTAAAAAAAATATACCTTTGAGAAACAACAAAAACACTGCAGAATCCACCACAACCTATTTCTGTACACATCTGCATTGTGCACACCTGTAAAAATAAAGAATTAAAAAATGTACGCTGCAGAAAAATGTGACATCGATGAGCACTGGTCAGCTCTTCTAGCCTGCATCCTCTGGTCTTTTAGGCAAACAGGAAGAGGAAAACGAAAGAAAAAAGGAAACAGGAAGTCCTGCATAAGCCATGAACCAGAAGTTAACCTCAGCAGGAGGTCAACACATCTTTAGACAGAGAAAATGAGCTTTAGGACATTCAAAGAAAGACAAACACTTCAGCTCAGGCTGGTAGACTTAAAAGCATTCCACTTCATAAGTCACGCATACATAAGCACACACTACCAGGAGCACCAGAAAAGGACAGCCAAGACTCCATGACATCATTCAGTCGGGTTGCATTCAAGACCACACAGCATGAAAACAGGCCACTGCTGCCGGACCACAGCTCTGAATTAATTTTGAGTTTCTAGTCACTCAAACACAGTCCGAATACTTCTGTGTACTTAAAGAAAGACTTTAAAGCTCTTTGCTTTATTTTCCACAAATCACATCAGTCCCCTTTTAACAACAAGTTGACCAATGCCATGTAGAGTTCACAGGACAGGCAGCATCAGAATTAAATACGTTTTTACAAATGACTTGACTTTTTACCCCCTCCCCCAATACAGATGAAGAAGAGGCAGGTCTGAGCATCTCCACTTAAATTGCTGCTTGCTCAGCCTGGAAGGAAACGGATGGAGGTAGTCGCACAAATGTAGAGCAACCTTACATCTGATCCGATTACTGGCCTATTCATTTATGCACAATAACTTGTTTTATAAAGCTCTATTGGGTATGAGACGCATGAAGAGTCAGCAGTTTCCAAATAAAGAGCACAAAAAAAATATTCATCTGTCACCATTTATTCTGAATTCCCAAAGTGGATTAATGACAAATTATGCCAAATCTGTTCATGATGTAAGGCTAAATTATGGACGACACACACAGAGAGAAAGAGAGCTGCAGTTCCTCAGTTTAATGTCTCTCTCCCCCTTTCTCTCTGACAAACACCTACAGTGAGAGATATATATAGCAGCCCTGTAAGCAGTCTGTCCTAATCCTGTCTTCAAACTGAGGGCAGCAGGCTCCTTTAGCTTCACCCCCCTCTGACTCAGTAAACTAAAACACACACCTGCGGGCAAACACACAAAGCCACAGTGGTGTTTGTACATGGGTGTGTGGTGAGTGCGCTAACCACTATACCGTAATCTATCTTACATTTAATATTTTAGTAATTTAAAAAAAATCTAAGAGTATCAGTGAAAAAAATACTGAAGTTACCAAAAAAAAGAAAAAGAAAAAAAGAATAACTAAAAAATTTTATGACTTAATGCTGTTCAGCTGATATCCATCCACCTACAGTTACTTCTCCAAATATTTATGGACCTATGCAGTGGATTTCAAACAATCAAGATGTGACTGAAGTGTAGACTCTCAGCTTTAATCCAAAGTGTTTAGAAGGAGTATTGCATTAACTACAGGAATGACTGTTTAGGAATTACAACCATTTTTATACACATCCCACACAGAGTTGGAAAGAGCTGCACCTAGCATTACAGCCAACACCTTGTATAAACTAGGTCTTTTCAAGCAGCACCCAACCAGATGTTAGCAAATTTTTCCATCACTGATGAAAAATCTGAAAGCTGTTAAAACAAAAACAAAAAAAACAATAATGTAACGTGTCTCTCTCATGACTACAGAGGTGCAGAAAGAGTGCCTATTTTGTATAGTATCTAGTTTGCAAATCAAAAAACGTGCAGTGCGTGAGCTCTTCTGATGAGGATGTGCGTGTATTTGTCCGTTTTAGATGACCTAGTTCAGGCCACAGATTTTATCCGCCATGCTTTGGTTCAATAACATGTGACAGTAACGGTACTTATGTCATCAAGCCTGTCAAACTGTAGAATGGTTCTGAAAAAGCAACGAGGCAAAACTGGATCTTGATTTGCATTAGAACCAGCTCCAGCCCCAGTTTGGTGGATGCGAGATAAGAGAAAAAGGCTGAAACACAAACTCACCTGAGTTGGAGTCAGGGAATGAAAGGTAGCAGATGCTTGTTTTCTGAAAGAACAGCAAATATTTAGTTTATGTCCTTACGTCTTTTATTACATCAGCTCAGGTTTACATACCCATACTAGGCTTTGCCTGCCTCAGAATGGGCCTTTGTGAATCAATCCATCAACATGTGATGCTTTTTAACATGTTGATAAATGTTCCAAAAACAAACCTTTCTTTAAAAAAAATAAAGAATAAATTCAGTGTAACTCACCTCTTTCTCCGACAGTTTGGAATGATGAGGATAAATGACCTGAAAGAGAAAAAACAAACAAACAACACTTTACCCAAAGAAGAATCTCACAAACGCACAACTGAAAACTTTGGTCAGCCTCTATTATGTGCTGTGCTTATGTTGTTAAACTGGAAAAAGAACTGGAAAACTGTAATACAATGCAAAGATGTTATAAACTGATTTTAATATGACTGAGAGACAAAGATAAAAACTAAAACAGAAAAAAGTTAAATTATGTTTTACAATGAAGATTTCTTACACCATAAAAATAAATAAATAAATAAATAAATACAACCCAATAAAAACCCACAAACACACACAGAAGTGAGCAAATTCAATCAAATAATTTTTTAAACTACTGAATAATGTTAATTGTTTACACAATACACACAATTTTTGTAGTTCTAAGTGTTCCCATTTTAAGCACTTAAAAAAAAAATAGCTGTACTTTTACAATTTTAGATTTCCTTTAGTATAAAAACAATCTACAGTGTTTATATTTTTCAAACTAGAAATGTATCAATGACAACATTTTGGTTTAATACTTGTGTTGAGATTTGTTTTAAAATGTTTTATTAAACATTTTAAAACAAAACTTTTATAGTCCTTTCAGTTTTTCATGGCAAAATTTGTTAATATTTGCCCAGTTAAAAAATGTATCTTGCATTTATCTAAAAGTTTAATATTGAACTTTATCTATAGTCAAGTTAGAGGTGGGAATCACCAGACACCCCTCGATACAATATTATCAAAATATTTCTCTCAAAATATGATACTGTTGCTATTTTTAACATTTTGTGATGTGCTGCATTTTCACAACATATATTGCAAATTATCACTTTTTTTAAAAACAGCAAATTATCTCCTTAAGTTAAACTTTGTCAATATTTATATTTTATCTAATAAGATAACGTTATCTTCAACTACACCAAAATGGTCATTAGAACCACTCACAAATGTTGCTGTAAGTCAGAGTAAGCCTGCTATCAGTCTGTGATTGAATGAGGTCAAGTTGGCAATTACATGCAATCTGTTTCTGATAATGCACAATTAACTGTTATACACCATCAAAAATCACATCTGTTAATGTCTACCTAGACAGAAATTAATATTCAACTATTATATTTGCTCTTAACCAGCTAGCAGCTAGTTGAGTTGAGTCCCTTCCAGTTGTGCTCGTTGACAAAGACTCATTCAGAGCAACAGCAGCATCTTGGTAATCATTCTGCATTTATAAATTAGACAGCAATTATTTACATACCTTCGACAGTCTCTGACAGCGATTTTCAGTCAGTCCAAGTCAGACTGCAACTGTCTGCAGAAAGGATGCCTCCTGAACTGCTTACCGTAGCTTTGTCAAGCTAAGTGTGTCCAGTGGTTTTGGTTGAACCAGTTTAATGTTAAGTTTGTTCAGCTAATGTTACCTCAGCACGGTGAAGCATGAAATGAGCCATCTTGTTCATAGTATTCCCAGAGTATTTTAAATATTTAATTTAAAAATCAGTATCTGGTATTCCTATATCATTACAGTATCGTGATACTATGCTGTATTGATTTCCCCCCACTCCTAATTCAAATCAAGTCAAATTTTGATATACCCATTAAAAACCAAACAAACAAATATGCTGATCCATGTGCTGCACTGCTGATAGTACTGCTGATGAATTTACCGTACTAAGTACTATATCCAATTAGTAAATCAAAATGATGAAATGCTCTGTAGTCTTAGTGTAGCTCAGTCCCCTGGAGAAAGTGAAACAGAAAGACCTGAAGAAGTCTGAATCTGCATAGTTGTTTTTCATTTAAACATTGTTATCAGGTAACTGATTAATGTGTGTTTCTATGACTCCGGTGAGGTCAACAGGTGTTGGGGAATTTTTTAGCCTTTGTGACTTCAGTAGGATTCAAAACATTTGGGCACCGTTTTAAGTTGAGTTATATATATTTTTTTTTTTTAAATATGCAACTTTCTGCAAAATACGTCCATTTGAAGTTATAGCCTGAGTGATGCAGTGGCTGCTGGGACGGACTAACTTCAGCTAAGGACACCAAACACGCTTCCCCGTAAGCTCGGCATTGTCATAAAGTGATCCTACAGTAAAATGTTCTGCTAGTTTTGTGAAGCGTGTGTGTACTCGTGTAATCATTGTTAAATCAAAGAGTGGCAAAATGAAAGCAGCTAATGAAAGTGATTTGTTCACTCCCCTCCGAGAATTAGCCCAAGCCTAAAAAACTGCTAACTTGGACATTTGTAGCCTCACTGAGTTTAACATGACCCCGCTGTCCCCGGCGGATACTTTTGTCTCACCTCCACCGCCTGTCCGAGCTCCAGGTCGAAGCCGACCACACAAATGCAGTGCAGCCAGGCGGAGAAACGGTCCCAGGGCAGCAGAAGAGCCTCCTCCGTCTCCTCGTCGCCTCCAGGCCCGGGGGGTAGCGTTATTTCCTCCGCCGGGGAGATGCTGCTAGCGTCCTGGTCGTCCAGATCCTCCGACTCTTCGACCGGCTCCCCCAGCTCCTCCGGGCCTTGCAGAGCCATAGCTACGGCCCGACACCGGACACCGAGATGCTCTGAAGAATGTTAACCGTTTCCTAAATATGTTTAATGGTATTTCAGGCCAACTTGTCCGCAGGTAACAACAGGAGACAAGGAGGGTGTAGAAAGTAGCCACTTAGCTTCCAATTAGCATTTCAGCAGCAACGTATTACGTTGTTTGTGCAACGTCATCACGCACAAACGTCCCTGAGCTGACTTCTACATGCCGTATTAAATAATCCATATAAAATCAATAAACAAATAATTACGTAGTTGTTTTTAATATTTGGTCTAATTTTTTCCAAATGGTTTGCACACAGACATAAAAAGAAATTTTTAAAAAGACATAAAACAGGATAGAAGAGATTTTTCTTTTCAAATCAAAGCTTTTAAAATCAAAATTATGAGATCCAAAGTCAAACATTAGACCTGCTAAGTCACAGCATAACCTAGTTAAGGCAAAAAAAATTCAAAGCTAGTAAACCTAAATATAAACCTAAACTATAAGTAGAAATTAAGAGATGTTTATGAGATTTTAAATTTTTTTTTATTTATGTAGCAGTTTTCAAAAATAGAAGTCACAAAGTGCTTTATACAGATAATAATCTAAGTAAGAGGTGTCAAACATGGCCCAGTGGCCAAACCCAGACACAGGCTGACAACAGGTGTAGTTCAACACACTGTAAAGTGCAAGCGATGAAGTCAGTGGTTATCACAGTGTTTCAGTAGCAGAAATTCAATGCTCCTCATTTTGATACCAGATTGGTTTCATCTTTCTTAAGATCTTGGTAGTGGCTCAGCTGGGTGTTTTCAGATTGTACTTGAACTGGCTCAGAAACACTCCTGGTCTAAGATAAGAGATACAGCTGCAAAATTTAAAATACTACGAATACACGAAAGACCTATGACAGTATATGCAATTGATTAAGGGGAACATCTGCACCATATATTAAAATGCAAGAATAAAAAAAAAGCTAAACATCTTTGTTTGTTTGGTGTATTTTTTTTCTAAATAAGCTGTAAGATGTACATTGGCAGGAACTTTGGGTAAAATCCAAAAAGTTCTTTTGTTTGATTGTTGTTTTTGTGCAAATTAACTTTGTATGTTTTGCACATATTGGGCTGAAATAAACAATTTTAGCAAGAGGCAGATGACTGAAGAAAATAAGTGAGAGAGGAGGACAGATAGAGAGAAAGATAATCAGGAAGTGCATAGGACCGGTAAGGAGGAAATGAAGGGAGCGATGAAGAAAATTAAGAGTGAAAAGGCAGTTGGTCCAGTGACATACCTGTAAAGAAATGGTGATGTCTAGGAGAGAGAACAGGGGACTTTTTAACCAGACTGGTTAACACATTCTTGGAGAGTGAGAGGATGCCTGAGGAATGAAGGAAAAACTTTATTTCTTTTCCATTTGACATTAGAATTGACGAGATTAAAGGAACACCTCAGGCTGAGATGGTTTGAGCATGAGCGGAGGGCAGATGTTGGATATACTATGCAAAGGATTTTGAAGAAGGAGCTTCCAGGCAGGAGGAAAAGAGGAACAGCACAGAGAAGGTTCATGGGAGTAGGCACATGCAGGGGTTGGTGTGACAGAGAAGGACACTGCAAACAGGAAGAGATGGAGGCAGTGAAGTGGTAAATGGGGGTTATGTATTTATACTCCTTACACTGAGACAAAACATACAAAGCAGGTCCTCTATACCATAGCTTTGAAGAAGTGTTTTTGTCTGCTACGAATGTAAAGGAATTGTTTTTGGTGAATGACATAATTGCAGAAATTAGCAGTAATAAAAACACTGAAAAAATGTCTTGATGCATGCTTAGTCATCCAGGTAAGTAAATCCCAAAAGGTTGATTCTGTTCATCTGTGCGTAGCGTTTTCAGTGGAGAAATGTTTCATCACTCATCCAAGTGACTTCTTCAGTCTCAGCTGACTGCAGGTTTCCCCAACCTAAACAGTACATTTGGACAATGACTGAAACTAGCTCATTCAATGAACAATGGACTGTGAGGTCAGTTCCTTGAGCATTAATATGCAAGTTTCTATGACCATTGATCAACAACCACTGATCAAAGCCCATTGATGAATTGAGTAGGTGGTCAAATGATTCAGTTGTACCACTACAGACCACCTGTTGATAGACATGTTGATGATTAAGATCATTTTCATATTACTATATACGATAATATATTCCTTAGTGACACCTGCTGCTGGCAGCGCTAGCTACAGTTCATTCTTTGTGATCTGAACTCCCCCACTCCACCACCTCCCCCCCACACACATCCACATTGCTAAGTATAACTCCCATCACTGAATGAATCACGTCTTCAATTACAGCCTGACTCTGAAGGCAGTAAATCAGCTTTATCTAAATCCTTTAATAGCTCTATCACCGAGCAAGCAGATGGATGAACCAAACTGCAAACAGAGGGCACAAACAAACCTTGGTGGCCTAAGTTGTGATGCAAATTAGTCTATTTATGGGTAAGAATAGTAATCAAGTCAATAAGATATTTTTCCACAAAATGACCAGTACTGGATTTCAGTAAAGTAATGCAAATTTAAACCAATTCATACTAAATGACTTGGTTTTAATTGTTCTTGCATTTTATATCTTGAGCCACAGAAAACAGTATTTGATCTGTCACTAAATAAATGTAAATGTACATTGCTTTTTTACATACTTTATTGTCATATGTTTAGTTTTTTAACACAATTATTCTTTTTTCGTGTTTTATTATGATTTTTTGTCATTTTTGCTCCCATTTTTCTATTGTATTTTTTTCATAAATAAAGTATATCTTATCCCAAGAAAAAAAACATAACGAAACAAAACGAAACACCTGTGCATACTAAAGAGCTAAGTTATCAACTAAACAGAAAATAAATTAATAAAAAAAATCCAAAGTCCAAGTGAGGCCTTTTTGGGGATGTTCAAATATCACATGGTACAAACATGTAAGTTATAATGAATGTAATAGTTATACATTCTTATGTTTTTGTATACAATTTCAAATGTAAAATATTCACATTGATAACCTGACATTGGTGATAATACATTAAATATTTAAAAAAAACAACACTTTGCATTGATAGATAATGAAATGCAATGAATGAGGTCTGGGAGCACACAAACCCCAACATTTATCAGATCACTAAAGAGTGTTGTAATTAAACTAAGATGTAATGGAGTTCAGCTTCTAAGGCTTTGTATCCCACAAACAGCCTCTGTTAAATGGACATAGTGATGTCAAACTGGGCTAAGAAGCTAAACACAGTAAGATGCTGTTAAATCTCATATAATAGTCAGACTGTTAGCACAGTGACAGCTGGTGCTCTGCTCTCTCTGCAGGAGGGCTAGGCAACGCAGGGACCACGATGGGGTCTATCCCACAAAAAAAACCTGCACCAGAAACACTTTACAGGAAAACTCCAAAACTTCAAAATGAAAACCTATAACAAGGGTATCAAATATAAGGCAGAGAAGCCAGAATTGGGCCGCTACAGTCCCTGATCTGGCCCACTGGACGGCTTTGGAAAATGTGAAGTAAGGCATACATTTTGGACTGCGCTGTATTTTAATAAATTTAACTGTTCCTCTTGCTGATAAACTTCTCCCATGGCCATTCGTATTGCACCAAAGTATTTGCTGTATTTGTGCAATATCTATTAGTTTATAGTATATGTATAGTATTTGTTACTTAACCCTTGTATGGTGTTCGGATCTGTGAGACCCGTGTTCAGTTTTTTTCAAAAGAAAAATTAAACAATTAGTTATTTTTTCACGTGTAAATGTGTTGTGTCTTTCCACTCACTCCACTTGATTATAACTGATTTATTTATAACATTTTGTATAAAAGAAAAACGAGAAGCACATTAATTCATAAATGTGATCTAACAAAGGTAAAGGGAAAAATTTAACCATGTTTGCTGTTCATATGTCTTGTAATTGGGATGAAGTAAACATCTGTTGAGTAATTTAACATAAAATTGTTTGATAGTGTTAATTTGGAAAGCCAAAACTCTAGCGGGTCCACCAGACCCATGAACACTGGCTGAGTAACAAAAATACGAACACCACACAAGGGTTAATTATAATCCAAATCCAATTTGGGATCTGGACTTAATTATACTTCAAATTATATTTCAAAACTTACATTTTAACTACTACTGTTCCTTTCTTTTTTTCCATTTTAAATCATGCTTTTTTATTTGTTTTTGTTTTTTAATGTCTCTGTAAAGCACTTTGAATCACCTTGCTGTTGAATTGTGCTATATAAATAAACTTGCCATACTATCTGTAATTAAGTAACAGACAAAATTAAATAACAGAAAAGGTCCTGTTTTTTTTACTATCAGCTATAGAAATTATGATCTTTCCGTAAAGAACAGAACCTTTCTGTTTTACAGCACAGTCTGGGAAATGATCTACCAGAACCTTTTCTGTAATTTTACACATTTATTTCTTACAGTTTAAGCCCAAACAGTCATAGTGACACATTTATTTGATCTATGACTGCAGCTTTTCTTTATCATACAGAAAAACTAAGAAATACTGTTTCACTGGTCCAGCTCACTTCACATCAAAATGGGCTGTATGTTTGTGGCCCACAGTTTAAAATGACTTTAATATCACTGTCCTATAAGGTCTGATGTTTACATCGCAGGAGTCTGTCAGTCACTCAGTTCTTATCTGGTCCTTCACTCTGGTATATTTGGAACAGCCTAATGATCAGTCTGATCCCAAAGTGAATCCTGTTTCAATCCTCTGCCCTCTTAGACCTACTGAGATCTCAAGCAACAGTACAAAGTCTTATGCCCTTTTCTTGTGATGAAGAAATTGACTGGCTTACATAGCTCAACATACTTTTTTCTTGCTGGGATTTTGTTGTGAAGATTGATTTTTAGTAATATGAGGGAAAACTAAACTAAACAGCCATGCAAGAATTTAAATATTCTGATCTTATCAAACCTACCCAGTCTTGGACATTTAGAGGAAAAGAGGAATTACTTACAGATAACAAAACATTTTTACCACAAAAAAGAAACAAACAAAAAACAAGCAAATATTTATATATTCAGTCTGTGTGAATGGATGGGTGTAGGTTTTATTTGATCACTGGAGAAGGGATGCATTAAGTGGAGTGTTATACAATGTTACTCCTGACACTAAAAGCCACAGGCTGCAATGCTTTACATCTTCAACCTCTTTAGCCCCTTGTTCTTCTCCATACACTTTGGAAGTAGGTAAAACTGGAAAAAATGTGGAATGCACTGAATATTTCTCACTTTCAGAGTGTAAGGAGTTGATAACTCTGTCTGACATCAGGCTGCTTTTTGGGTTTCTTGTTTTGAGGAAGTCATTTGCTTTAATGTGCACGTGGCACTTTTAATGGTTCAGATATGTTTCTGATCATGTTGGAAAGTCTCTGCATGTTTCGTAACAGCTCTGCTGTATTATTGAGGCTGATTGAAAACAAGAAGGACTAGCAACAATGGCTTCAGATTAGTTAGGAAACTGGCAACAACTCAATAAACTCTGAGAAAAAGTTTCAATACAGAAAAAAAGTTCCTTCATTTTAAGGAATATAAAAAAAATGCCTGCGACCTCTTGACTAACTTAATATGAATGAGAACCAAACCTGTCTGTCTCTTTCAAGAAAAGTGTTTTTCCCCAAAAGCTGATGAAACAACAACATCCCCAGTCTTAAAAGTTAGTGTTAAAACTGTTCAATTAAACTTTTAGCCCTTCTTTTCTCAGTGAAGTGTGTAGACTGAAGCCTGGTCACAGTTCAGCTGCTAGAAGCAACAATTATATAATTTTTATATTTCCTTACAGCCAATAAAAAAATTGATGCAGAAAATTCCAAACACTTATGGAGAGTAATTATGAATACTTTAGTCACATGTCCTATAAATTATGGCTGAATCTAAGAAAAAACAGCAAAGCTTTGCTTTATTTTTTTTATCTGCTTTACAGTCTCATCCACCATCGATTTGTTCTCAGCTGTCTGTTCACCAGAGCACCACAGGGACATTTCTGGGGCCAGAAGCAGAATATGATCTCCTCTAAAACCACCCCCAACCTGCTGTCCTATCCCTAAGCTGCATTGCTGGGATGATGTCCGTCTGATGCAAACTCAAATATACTGCTCTGATTAATAAACTGCAGGTGATGAGAATCAAAAAGGTACTTGAAAAGAAACTAGGTGATTTTTTTAAGTAAAGTAGATACAAATCTGTTCTGTTTTTTCTTTCTAGATTATACCATTTATTAGGACTTCCATATTTCTTAAGCAATTAATATATTCAGGCCTGTGTAATGGACAATGAAAAAAACAAAAAACAAGAAGAAAGGTTCTGAAAAAAAGACTGAACAATAATCCAGTTTTCATATTTAACACAAATGAGTCCATGCTCTTGAAAGAAAAAAACCCACTGCAGTAAAACAGGGAAACCATAGCAAAGGATAAAAACAAAACAACATAACAGAGAAATTGTGTGGTTTACAAAAAAGCATCTTTTCTCATAGATCCATATTCTAAACAAAATTCAGCCCTTTTGACTTTCATGATACCGTTTCATGGAAGATTTGACATCATTTGTTTTATCTTGTGTTTAACGTTTGGTTTATGAGGGTTTTATTTCACCAAAACAGTGCTTCTAGCTTTTATGTTAGCTTATATATTTGTGTTCTTCTGTATATAAACTAAGTAGAAATAGATTTGGGTCTATAGTAGAATTTCCTCACACGTCCCTTTGAGCTCTGAGGGAGTTAGCCACATTTGTATTTGTGCGTTAATCTGAGGCATTTTCACTGTCTGGGTGGTTTCTAGTCCTGCAATCTTTGTGCAATACGTTTAGATTATCATGTGAACTCTTGCAAAGAGGATGTAAACAGATTACAGGATTTTGGTATAAAGTAATTTTCTTTGTCATTATTATTTGAAGAGGTGTTTGTATGTGAAATATGTTGTGCTTTAATACCAACTTTGTAACACGTTACTCGTATCTACTTTTTTTACATTTAAAAAAGTGCTTACATTTTTATCGTCAGTGTTAATCACGTTATATTTTTTTAATAATTCATAATTCTGTTTGTATCTATGTATTTATCTTTTAAGCTCATTACTTTTTCCGAGTCTGACCTAATGAGCTCAGCAGTGGGTGGTGCTCATGTCAGCTGGTCAGTGAACGCATCCCTCCGGCTGTCTATCGTTCAGTGAACGCACCACCGCTGTCTGCTCTCTAGTTACAGTATGGCGGCTGGGACTTGCGGAGGAGGACAACTTCTTCTAGATTCCTTCCACAAAACTGTTGGAAGGCGACGGCATTAATATAAAACTTATAGCGGCAACCACGAGGTACACTGCAACAGACGACAGCGGCATAACTTGTGTTTCTTACTGGGGCTTTCCCCAGAAAATAATCGGACTGGTGTGTGATGCGTGAGGACCCGCAGTCAAGAAACTCCCCTGATTTTTCCGCGTCGGTTTCTGCTTTGACTGTCAGTTAGCCGGCTAGCTGCTAGGTAGCTCCCTTCAATGCTAACGCTCGCCTGCAGAGCTCTATATTAGCAAAAAGAAACGCTAGCGTGTTGCTTTTATTTACTCCAGGTGACAGGGATGGTATACCGTATCCATTCGGTAAGCGGACTGGTTGAAAAAGATGGGGCGAAAAAATTTGTGGACCTGGACGATAACTTTGTCAGTACTCATTAGCCTAGCCTAGCTTAACCTAGCTTTCTAGTACAACGCCAAAAGAGAGTTAGCGCTTCGCCTGTCCACCAGCGAGTTAGCCAATTAGCATTTTAGTTGCACAAGACGACCAGATAATCCTCCCCTGTTCATCCCGGTGGATGGTTTTGAAACGTCTCCGCTGACTAATTCAGACGAAGAGTGGGCATTGAGCTGCTTTAGTTTTATAACTCAGGGGTGTTTTGGCGTTCGGGCTCGCTAGGTGTTCTCTGGTGGAGGGAGTGGTGAAGGTAGGGAGATAGGAAGGTAGCTAAGGTTCCCTGCATCAGGGCAACAAGGTCACTCAGATTATGAAGAGCCATACATGTCAACTACACTTATAGATGACACTTTAGTAAATGACAGACGCGTGTGTGTTGTGTGTATGTGTGTATAGGGTGATGAACGCTGGGGTGTGTGCCTGCTGTTAGCTTGCTGCAAGAGAAGACAACACAGCTCAGAAGCGCGCAATAATTGGACCTACTGCTCTTGATATACGTTAAACACACAGTTTAGTCAGCACAGAAGGAGTTTGATGGACGTGAGGGGCTGTCAGTGCTATACTAACTCATGTATGTCTTGACACATGGCAGCTTGGTCTGTACATAGTGCCTGCTGTCACATATAAGCGTCGTTATGTAGCTTCGGTGGGCAGTCAGTGAGGGGAATGTCCTGTCTTTTTTTATACCTGTTGGTTTGTTTTTTATTTCTCACACACGAGAGAGGACCATGTTTACTAGTTAGTGCCTAGAAGATTAGAGGACTAACATTTCAGCCTACAGATAGGCCGCAGATATCGTAGATTATTCCTATTTTTTTTGGAGGAGGGACTGCACCAGAAAAACCTGCCACTCTGGATCAAGAAAACTTGCCCCTCGTCACTGGTTGGAGTAATACTCTCAAGCCAAAATCAATGCCTTCAGCGCTGGCAATATTCGCCTGCCGACCCAACTCGCACCCATTCCAGGAGCGGCATGTGTACCTGGATGAGCCCGTCAAGATCGGCAGGTCGGTGGCTCGGTGCCGGCCAGCCCAGAACAACGCCACCTTCGACTGCAAGGTGCTGTCCAGGAATCACGCTCTGGTGTGGTTTGACCACAAGACTGGCAAGGTAAGCGGCAACAGCACTGAAAATTACTTTACTTAAATTGCTTTACTTTGGTTTTTATGTGGGCCTGAAACTACAGTAGATAGTTACTTTACTCCATGTGTCTGTGAAGGTTCTCAGTCATCCAGGTCATCGTAGTCAAAGGAGCTTGCAAAGAAAAGCGTCTGGACTAACTTAAATTTACTCCATGTCTTCTTATGGGTTGGCCAAATAAAGAGAACCACCAGTGAGAAATATCACCTCATTGGTTTGCATCTTTAAATAGACAGGAATAAAAGCCCTATAAAGAGGAATTTTGCAATGTTAGCTGCTCATCTTGTTTACTTATATTTTCCATGAATGAGCCCAATTAGCTCACAACCTTTCTTTTACTGTGTAAATAAGGTTATTACCTAAGAGCTTAAAATGTTGCAGGAGATCTAACTTATTCCAAACTGAATCATGGTAACCCTTACATCAACTTGGGATAATTTAATATGCCTTATAATTCTGACTTGAATATTTATAAATCATTTTTACCTTCATGAATCCAGGTAGCAGATTTTAATACAGCTATCATTATTAATACTAATAATGATAGTGTTGCTGTGGATTTAACAGGCTGCTGTTCAAAGTTTGAAATATATGAGCAGGTTGTGGGATGAAATGAAAAAGCAATGTTAACAACAGTATAATCTGTGACAATAATCTGTGTCACTATCTGTGTCATTTATGCTGATGGATTAGTTTGTGTCACTATGAATTGTGGGGAGGCATTGTCTCTTTAGTTATAAAGGAAGTGCTGTAGCACATGTTTTTAGTGTTTAGAGCAGGGGTGGGAAATTGATTTTTTTCCAAGGTGGCCACATGAGAAACTGACCCTTGTGGAGGGCCACACCAATAAACTGAACTCAGATATGCTCAGTTTTCTCTTCTTTTTCTCACGTGAGCCCTTGGGAAAATGTATTTCTGCCCACAGTTTAGAGAGTTCAACCAGCTCTTCTTATTGCTTCCTCGTCACTTCTGTTAGGAACCTCCATAAGAACAGCTGATGCTGTGACTAGTCGGGGCTTTTTCTGGTTCATAATAAACTTTTAAGCGATTGGGGCACTAAGCAGGATTAGTGAGTGTGTATTTGAGGTAGGGTAGCTTACTTAACAAATGTGTGCATTTTGCTGATATTGCCCAGCTTTTAATTTTTAAAAAAGGAAGTTTTCAGCAAATTAAATACGGCTTTAAAACCACTTAATTGATAACTCTTTGTTCTGTGGACTGATGTGACTGAACGACTTTGGAGAAAATCTTCACACATATGTTTTTAAATTTAAAGTAGTTGACTTAACCTGCTATCTAAAATTGCATAATTGAAAAGGATCAGGATTTAAAGATGCACCAGTTGGAATTTTCTTCAATTTTAACTGATAGCACTCTGCTTCAATGCAACGTTTTACTTTCATAATAAAATAAATTGTTAAATTTAAGAATTTTCCCCCAAACTGCAGTACATTACAAGATCTTCTCTCATTGGAAAATTGAAAATAAAGTTTGCCGTCACTGGAAAGAGTTACAAATAATTGAATGAAAATGAGGTGCTGTACACCTACCTTTACCTGTCATATTTTATGTAGGCAAACAATGTCAAGTTCAACAGATTTATATAACAAAACAAATGTCAGGTACTTGCATCATTTCCTAGTATTTTTATAACTTCACCAGATAACAGGGCATTGACCCTTCTCTCTTTTCCCACTCATCTCCGTAATTTGTCTCGTAATTGCTTTGATCTTTTGCTCACGCTGAGGCTGCTGGCTTGTGTCTGGCTCTAAGATCTGGATAGTTGTAGCTTTAACCACTTTTCCTTTGTTAGGTTCTTTGTCTCAGTGGGATTGTTGTTATGAACTTTTTCACTCTTGTGTTTTACTTTGGCGAACTGTGTCTTCACTTGCAGTGAGGAGGTTAGATGGTTTTGACATAGTGTGTGGTTGTGCATGTGCATATGATGATTTGTCTGCATTGCTGTGTGCATGTGTTGTGCATACATGAATTAGCCTTTTCTCAGTCAGGGCAGAAAACGCTGGCCAAGTTCCTGATTGGGGAGTTGATCGGTGCATCTCTACTGAGTTGGGACCTTTTTGTAGTGACAAATCCAAATTTTGCAGCAACATATTAATGACTAACCTGGCATTATGGATGCATCAACTCAGACTTGTCTTTCTATCAAATGATGGCATTTATCTCTGCCCATCAGGGACCCTAAAAAGCAAGATTTTCACCAAGAACGATTTACTAAATCTGTAGCCAGGCAGTACATTATTAAATGTCAACTGGCCCAACTTAGGAGCCCTCCAAATGTTGCTGCTATTTAGATGTTAGTTTTCATTTATATCTGCACTTATAAAACAGCTGTACATTTTATTTTTTTCTTTCGTTCTGTTTTTTTAAATAAATACTTCTGACTAACTTCCAGTGGATTCCTAACTCGGCTAAACTTTGTGAATTCTCTCTTTCATGGATGACTTGGTGTTAAAGTTGATTGTAACAGCCACACTAATCATTTTATTGGAGCTGAAAGAGTTTGGACTGTTTAACTGTCAGTATGGTCCCCGTGTTCGATTTTTGGGAACTGAAGGAGACTTTGGACCTGGACATGTATAACTGCCAATAACTGAAACAGAGGTTGAAATCACAGTACAAACTTCTCCCATCTCATAGTGTGGGACCATCATTTCATACCACAATACTCATGTGGAAGTGATAATTTATTCTTACTTATTTTAAGTTTGATCAGGCAATACATGGACTGAAAATCTAAATTGTTGCACTCTTAGCCATTAAGAGCGCTCTTGGTTCTAAACCAAAAAGATAAAATGAAAATTTAGTGTATCTGCCAGGTTTTCTTATAAATGGGATGTATTTATTTATTTATTTAAATAAATAATGTGTCTTTCTTCTGAATTATTTAAGTAATTTCTGTCATTAGAAAGTGGACAGTAAAGCCAAGAATCTGTTAAATGCAGAGAATGAGATAAAAATAGTTGTAGGACTCATTTTTCAGACCAGGGGCTAAACTTAGTCCAGGGCTAACCAAAATTCAAAGCAGATATTCATTGAATGGAGCCCACATTCCAGTCTACGATTAGACTTAATCCCTTTCAGGGGAGCCAAACTGTTGTTTCGTTAAAAGGCACAGGTCTGAATGTAAATTGGGCATATAAAATCTGTGCGTTGTTGCATCTGTAGTTTCTCTGCTGAACAGGTTAAACAGGCTGAGACAGCCACGGGATTACCCAGCACTGTGGTATGCAGGGACTTTGAAATACCCTCTGTATGTCTGTGTGTGTGTGTGTAAAGGCAGCACAGGCTATTTATAACGACACTGGCAGCGTCATCCTTTCCTCTGTTCAGGAATAAACGCACATGCAGACTCACACTGATCTGTAGGATCTTACCATGCACACATGCTGCTGAATGTATTGAAACAGGGGAGTAATGATTTGAGATTATTGGTTTATCACTTGAGTTTTTATTATTACCAGGGAAGTTGTTTTTCTTATGGCTCATGAAAAGGTTGTATTTGCTCTCTATATGTGTGATTAATACAGTCAGTTGAATTTTAATGTAATAAATGTAGGACCTAGATAATTCTTTTCCTATAGAATGAGGTTTTGTTTGTGGCGGTGTCGGGGCAAAGGGCATGTGTCCACACACAAGCATGTCCTTGTCAGGTAATGTTTCGCAGTTTTTCATTAGGTTCTTTATTTTTAACTTTTCACAGTGCTTCACGCTGGTTTTACTTGTGAAGCAAACAGGCATACATGCACGCACGCTAATAAGAGTTTTTTTCCCTTACAGTCAGTATTTTCACATCAAAAGACCAATAAATCCTTCATTAAACTGCCTGCATGGAGAGTTTCAATGTGAAGGAAAGTGATGTTTTTTTCTGCTTCCATCCACTGATATAAAAAAATATATATCTGTAGATACTAATTATTCTCGCATATTTGGATTATAAATATAAAAGTTCATATCTCCAAAAAAACAGTATTACTATAGATTAAGCTTCCCAGTAGTATATGAAGTCGAATGACCACTACCTTGCGTTCTAGTATTATTACCTGTTTTGCAATTAACTCGCATAGATTGCATGGGACTAAGGCAGCAGAAATATGTATTAGGATAATGCTACACACACACACTCACTCACTCACTCACTCACTCACTCACTCACTCACTCACTCACTCTAAAAGTGGCTTGCCTAACCTGTACCTCATAACCGTAGTTTCCTCTTGCAGAAACAATGTTTGTGTGTCACATGACTCTGCAGTTTTAGTTCTTGTAAAAATCAGTCTAATGTGAAAGGGTTTGAGGAGTGATTGCTGTTTGGTTATTCACTATACATATATATATATCTCCCAGCCATATATACGTGTGTATACATGTAAATGTATATACGTGTGTATACATGTAAATGTATATACGTGTGTATACATGTAAATGTATATACGTGTGTATAC